CTTCCTTGTACGAAGTAAAAGGAAGGGTTAATCTTTGGATTATGGTAACTTAGCAAAAATTTGGCGACGAACTCTGCTACAGCAACCCTCTATTTTTTTTCCGCCGCCATTTTGTCTTCACGAAGTAAAGACATATTTCTTTTCTTTTTATTTACTCAACACTTTTTCCAACAATCTGCTGGCCGAATTACACTTATTCTAGAAATTTTATGGAACAAAACTGCTTAATCAGGACAAATATTAACTGCAAAATTGGGAAAAAGTGCAGAATCGCAAACTTCTTGCTGCGTTTTTTAGAATTGCACATACACAGTAACCATGTACACGTCGACTTATTTTTACTTTAAAAAAACATCCCAGAATTGCATAAAAATGGCATTGCGCACACTCTTGACTTTATCCATCTACACTGCTATTTTCTCATAAATTACAAAAATTTGCACAAAAGTGCAGGAACATTTTATGAATCTTTAAACTTGGTAAAAAGCACATATATGAAACTACCTGATTGCGAAAAAGTATATACCCTTTCCAAGGATGAACATTTCCACGTATAATATAAATAAAATATCCAAAAACTTTTACCTCTAAATTATCTATTACAAATGGTTACCAACGATACTTAATTAAATATTTAAAATGGTTTAAATTAATTCCATGTCAAATATTAAAATTATTTCCATGCACGTTTACTTCCACTGAAACGTATACCAAATTGCTACAAACTATAATTCACAAATAACTATCATTTAATTAAATATAATTAAATAAAAACACTACTTAAAATATAAATAAGCACGTATATTAAATTAATAAAAATTAGCGTACAATCCTAATGACTTTAAACTAAATCATTGCTAATAACAATTTTCCAATAATACCATATTAATTTATTTACTCCTTACATTTAGAACATGCATAAAAATAATATCCTCAAATGATCAAAATACTAACTTACCTAATCTTCAGAATCTTCATTACGTGGCACACACACTTCCCCTATTTCACACAACACACAATGAAGCTTAATACAAAATAATATAGTACTACAGTTTTCCAAATTCCCCCCCCCCCTTTTCCGATTAAAGAACTGTAATTCGTCCATTAATGTCACATGACATATCTCATGATCTCTCATTTCCCTCACACAAAATAATGCGTAATCGGAACTGAGTACTTCTCACATTATACCCAAAGTCCTAGGTAGTAACCTTTATCGCCTACCAAAATGTCGCAAAACTACCTGTTACCATATTCCAAAGATTAGCCAAAGGAAGTATTGTAATCGCGAAAAGTTTCAGGCAGCATATTTCAACGAAAATATCCATTTTGACTGCTATCGAATGCAATTTAACGATGTTTTTGCGTAATATCTGTACGTAAAGACAGAATAAAAGACTCTTTTCCTCCAAAAAAATTATAAAACTGCTTTAAAATGAATTCTGAAGAGAATTTTTTGTAGCGTACGTACCTATCTCGCATAACTCAAAAACGAGTAGCCTCAGAACGTTGAAATTTTGTATATAGGACTGCTATAACATGTAGATGTGCACCTCGTATTTTGGTCGCAATCAGCCGCACCAAACGTATATAAATATATTTATATATATATATCCAGTCTGTTACCCAGTTCAGTGATCTCAGTTTCTTTACTCTTATATGTTTGTAAATTGTACATTTTTTGCTTTAAAAATGATTGAATTGTGTGTTCTTGTCTTCTGGTTAAGGTTTTTATGCCTTTAGTAAACCTCTATGCAATATTTTTAGAATTATCAACAATTTTAAAGTTGTTTAAGTGCCGCTAAGCCTAATACTTCTCTTGATGGCGGCCATTGATGTTTACATTTGAAACAGGAGACTAGTGGGTTTGTTGCCAATCTAGAGAAACTTAGCTTCACAACAACAAAGATAACGCATTCATTTATTATTGCCAATAACATTATGCTTAATTCTTTCTTGAATTTTTTCGAGGAAATAAGCGTTTAAGATTTACTTCGTAATTTCTAATATAGATATTTTGAGTTTTTATGTATTTTTGCCTTCTCGCAAAGTGAGAACTGAATTAATTAAATGAGAAATACTCAATCGTCTGTGAAAAACTGTTTCTTTTTTTGTTTTGTTTGTTTAATTTCTTTTATACATCATTTTAGCTTTATTATAGTATTTGAATAGAACATGTGGCGACGATTAGATAATTCTTTTCTTTAAATGATATAAATTTTGTGCATTATGAGTTATAATATGAACAAAATATATAAGTTAAGTGTTATGTAATTATTGGATTATATAACAGTTAACTTAGTTTCTGTTATATAATTATTATATAAGTTAACTGTTATATATTATTATTAATACTGTTAAGTGAATCTAGCGCCAGAGTGTTGCTATGGTAAACTAATACTAGAGTAAATTTTAAAGAATGCATTTATTCTATTGTGGTTTATGCGCTGTCGGCGAAGTAGATTTAATTCAATCCAATAAGGTTAAATGAAATGCAAGGAAAAATGCTTATAATTTAATATTCTGTACAAGGAAGTCGTGGTGTACACATCAGATTTTTTTAAGTGAAAATAGGTCGATGTGCACATGGATACCGAGTATGTGCAATTCTTAAAAACGTGCCAAGCAGTGGGTGGTTCTGCACTTTCCCCTGTGTTGCTTTATTGTAGTGATTTTAAGAAGGATACCACTGCCAGTGCAATCTTCTGTATGACTACCATCAGTATAGACCTGCACTGCATCTTTACGAATGCAACTAATAATTTCCAGAGCCAGTTGCCTAAGAACGTCTTCATGGTGAGTTTGCTGTGGATTGCAGATCAAAGTGGAAGAAAACTCTTGGTAGTTCCACTGAGGGATCAATAAAGGCTCTTGGAGATAGAGGTACAACCTCCCGAGAGATCAGATTCTGAGTTTCGGCCATGCTAAAAGGGCTGGATTTCTTGAATCTTTGATTGTTGTGCCAAGTATGTGTTGTAAAACATTTTTTTAGCCTCGAAATTTCACAACAAATAATAAAAATAGAGAGCAAAATGATTCTTCTTACCTTATATACAGCGCAGCATCAAGCGAGATCATACCTAATTAACTTGTAATCCAAAATAGGTGTAGACGGAAATTGTAAGATCACAAAACACATTCTTGATTAATACATGGAAATAGATAAAAACTTATTAGTATTCCAAATATATACATTGAAAAAGGAGTTATATTATAGAGAGTGTCATGTCACTGTCTTTTCCTGAAGGAGTAAGAAAAGTAAGTGTGAAGAATAAGTGTGTTAGACAATTAACTCTTTTGCAGGGTTTCCAGTTCATACAGTTTATCGCACTATTGGTGACAGTCCATCACTATATGAATGCCAACAGTATGGAGATACAACGACGTACAATGTTCGGGACTGTAGCTGTATATTTTATTGAAATAATTAAATTGGCTCTTCTAATATGCAGTGGCTGTAAGTTGGTCTCGAACAAGGCTATACCAGAAGAGCGCTATTTTTGAGTCCAGGAATAATTCGAGCGGCACTCAGTTGTAGATGTTCTAATTTATGAAGATTGGTTTCAGACACACAGGAATAAATTGGCTAGCCATATTCTAGAATACATCCTATAAGCACAATATATGTAAATCTAAGAGTGTTTGCATCAGCTCCCCAATCTTTGCCAGCTAGATATTTAAAGGTGTTTAGGTGCTTATGGGCCTTCAAAACCAAATAGTCTATATGCCTGTTGCTATTGAATTCAGGATCAAGGATGAATCCTAGATATTTGGGATGTTTTTCATATGCGTTTTTCATATGTTTTTCATATTCATTTCATTTTTCATATTCGAAATACAATTTCGTCCTTATGGTTTTGTTGACTAACCATTTAATATATTCTATAATATCTTTGTAACAATAATGTAGAAGTGGAAAACCATTTCAATGAAGATACTAAAGTGTATAAATGCTGTCTGAACCTTATTTAGCATAGCAGCAATATCCATTGAAGTACTATTAGCCCTTTCTGATTATCTTCATTTCCTTTCTTTTGCCAAGCTAATATAAAAAAGGCAGTAACCAGTTTCAAATTTGTGGCACACTAAGCGTTATATATAACAACAATCAGCTGATAAAATTAAAAATGCAAGAACATTGGTAATAACTTAACTCCTTCAAACACTTATCCATCTTTTAAAACTCTTTTTCTCCCCCCCCCTCTTTTTTTTTTTTTTTTTTTGGCTTCTGCTTCCGTCAGGTACACAGCAATCTGTTTTCTTTTAAAAAACGTTAGAGAATTGTGCAAACTCAGTTCTGTACAACTTCCGCATTGAGCACCATTCAAAACAGATGTCTTTGCACATACCTGGGCTGCCATATGCATACTTTTTTGCAACTTTTCGTTAGTGCTACAGATAATCAGAAAATAGTGAATTCTTGTCAAAATACTATAAGCAAATCATTTAACAGTTAATGTTTACAGTGACATTACAATTGACGAGGTTAATATTGGAAAGTGTATTTTAGGAAAAGAAAATGCTTAGTAAACTAAAAAATTCAACTTTTCAGCTCTTAAACTTGTAGAAAATTTCAAAAATATTTTGTCCCAAATGACTGGATATTTGCTTGGATTTTCCGAATGGTCGTATATTTAGTCATTCACTAGGAATGGCCAAATTTATTAAATGGTTCGTGATGCCACTGCTGTGAATGTTGCCCATAATGCACTGCAAGTTCTAGACTAGTATTTCACCAAATAGAACAAAAGGGGGGACATGCACAATACAGCCAAGCCTTATATGTGAGTTAAACCCGTATGCTTTGTTTCAGTGCACCTGGCAGTCTCCACTAACCACTATGACATCCAGTGCAACAGTATGAAAGATATCTAGTAAGACATTCCAGTTAAAATGTTGGTTAATTGCTAATAAAATTTAAATTTTTCATTTCAGGTTTGCAGAATCTAGAAGGTTCTTTTTTGTTTCTGTGTTATTTATTGAAAATATTTTTCATTTAGATCAACATGAAACCTTCAAAGCCATCCCACAAGCCTCACAAGAGCTCAAGAAGTTCACCTTTGAGGAAAGAGCATCTAATGAAAAAAGCTGGACGATCTAGGTCACCTTTACGAATGCCTGGGAGTTCCAGGTTATTTTGTCTCCTCTTCTTTTTTTCTTTTTCTTTTTTTTCCAATTATATGAGTAAAATTTCAGTAAGATGTTTTATTCTCAGGATGTTTCATTCTTTGCATTTCATTTGTATTTTAATTTATGCAATTTAATCTTTCTGTTTAGGTAAATAAATTTTTGAAATTAGAACATAATAAAAATGAATTGTCAAATTTATTAGGTTTAACAAATGGCAAAATTAAATTTTGCTATGTATGAAAAGAAGTTAAATTTTTGCGGGAGGGTTACTTTTTTTAACCCTGTCAGATTTCAAGAAAGAGATTGTATAGTTTCCTAAAGCATCAGCAGCTTTGTCAAGAAAGCTTTTGAAAAGTGCGGAACATTTCTTTCACTGCACCGAAAGCGTTAAGTAGTTTTTTTCACCCCCACACCTGCGGAAAATCATCACATGAACTAATTAGTATTGGCTGTAAAAGAATCAATCACTGTCAAAACTTTCCCTTTTGGGAGTTTTTAAGAAGGTATATGCTAGTGTTTCAAAAGTGATCCGACTTGTGATTGTTTTAGTCGAGGATTATGTTACCAAATGAAAATTTTGTGGAAAACTACAAATCAAGACATTAAAAGAAAAGAATTATAAATATTTTTTTTTTTTTTTTTTTTTTTTCTGTTCGTAAACCTGCATTTTTATGTATGTATGTATTTATGCAGGTTTATGTCTATATATTTATTTAAATTTTTATGAACAATCTATATGCATATGACTGTAATATCAAATTATTTTTGTGTTTCTAATACCCTACACTTTACAGTGGTGGCCAAAATTGTGGACACTTTTGGAAATTTTTATGTTTTTGAACTTTGTATGCTTATAGAAAACGTTACGTTTCACAAAATGCAAACTTGTATATATCATTTTAAAGAGAATTTATTACTGAATTCAATACAAAACACAAAATTCAATTATTTGCAATACAAAAAAAGTTAAACGAATAGTTATCGATATACATTAGTGATGATTGCAGTGAGTTATCAGTACTTAGTAGGGTACCCTTTAATTTTGATTACAGCTTCACATTGACGTTTCATTGAGCTGACAAGAGTTTTAAGCTCTTCTTTCGTTATTACATAATGCCAGGAAACAATTATAGCCTCAATTAGTTCCCTTTTATTTGATGGGCACCTCATTCGGACAAGAGTTTTCAAACGGTGCCACAAATTTTCGATAGGATTGAGGTCAGGACTGTTTCCTGGCCATGACAATAATTTAATGCTCTTTGTACAAAACCACTCCTTCGATATTTTGGCCGTATGGCGAGGAGCAGAATCCTGCTGAAAAATAAACAAAGCATTGTTGGGAAAGAGATCTCTGATGGAAGGTAGAAGTTTTGGTTCTAGAGTAGTGTCAATGCGTTTTCTGGCATTCAGTGTCCCATCGATGACATGAAAGCGACCAATACCATCTGCTGACATGCATGACCAAATCATAACACTAACTGGGTTCTTCACAGGTGCTTGAATGCAATCAGGATGTAGCTCTTTTCCTATTCTAAATCTTACATATTTTCGCCCATCACTACCGAATCACAATATCTTAGTTTCATCGCTCCATATAACTTGTGACCACTGATCATCTGTCCAATTAATGTGTTCCTTTGCCCACTGTAGTCTTTTTTTTTTTTTTTTTTTTTTTTCATTGTTGAAAATTAAGATAAGGCTTTTTTCTTGGAATTCTACCTCTCAGTCCAACATCTGTTAATCTTCTCCTGATTGTTCTTGAACTGACAGAAACACCAGCATCATTCAGATCACTTCTGATGGCATTTTTCTATCTTGGAGACTTAGTCTTCTTATTCTTCTGTCATCAATAGATGTGGTGCACCTTTTTCGACCTTTTCCTTCTTTGTTTTTTATTGAATTTGTCTCCTGATATCGTAAACAAAACTTTTGGACTCCAAATGTAGTCACTGAACCACCCACCTGTCTTGCAATTCATCATGGGAAAGACCACTTTCTCGTAACACAATAATATTACATCTCTTTCTAGGTGTCCAATTTAATCTTTTATTTGATGTCATTGCTTCTTGACTAAAAAATTAAAAATTTTACAAAAATTCCTACTTTTAATTGCAGTGTATAAGAAACAGGTCCTCCTTCTACAGAGCAAAGCAAAATAATAAATTGTTTCAAGTGATGATGTCAGCTTCTACTGGCAGTTACTAACATTTGATTAGTTCTCAGAACAAGAACAGTGACTGGCCAGGAAAGCTAGACATTACAAACCACTTCATAACTGTGTTTTTTATTTATATTAAAGTACATATAAATTTTTTTGTATTGCAAATAATTGAATTTTGTGTTTTATATTGAATTCAGTAATAAATTCTCTTTAAAATGATATATACAAGTTTGCATTTTGCAAAACGTAACAAGCATACAAAGTTCAAAAACATAAAAATTTCCAAGTGTCCACAATTTTGGCCACCACTGTAATTATTTCATTTACCTCTTATATGTGATTGCTTGCCTAGGATAGAAGGAATATTATCTAACTGAAACAATATGATTTTCGATATGTTTTCCTTATTTTTTTAAATAAAGTAAAATATCTTGGGAACTTAGAAAATTTCTTATTTTATTTGCAGTTTTGGGTATTTTTCATCCAGAGTGTATTTAAAACTATGGATGTAAATAATGTTTCACAATTTACTTGATATAATCATGGAACTAATTAATTGAACATGAAGTAAAAAATTTGTTTATTTGCTAATCATAATCATATTACGTTTAAGTTTTTGTCATGCAATTTTCCACTTTTCTGTATAGCAATAAGTAAGGAAAGTCACGAGTTTATTAATTGTGCCATAATGGTATTGTTTTCTTTAAAATTTAAGAAAATATCAGTATATTTTGTTATTCTACTGCTGATTTTTTTTTGGGGGGGAAGAGGTTAAGAAAAAATAAACAGTTGCTCTTAGAAATATTCATGTTGAAAAGTAATAAAAGCATTAATGAAAAAATAAAATTGGATTTTAAATTGAATGAAGTAATCCTTATGGTTTTATTAGTCTCTGTACCTTAAATTCTTTCTCTCTCGTTATATGGAAAGAACTGAAGAATTAAACAGAAGCACTAGTCTAATGCTCTTGATGCTTACTTATTTTTTTAATTTTTATTTAATTTGGTTATGGCAAAGCACTCAGAGGTTATTTGCCTAAGGGTGGGGATGTCTTTGTGGAGGAATTTCTGAGGGAAACTGGCTCATGTACCCGTTGCATTTTGGGAAAACAACGGAAACGCTTATGCAGCGAGCTGTTTCGCCGGGAGTTGAACCCTGGGCCGAATTACCAGCTTTCAGTGACAATTGTGCATCTGCTGATGGTCAATGCTCTTGATGCGTTTTATGGAACATGAGTTTAGTATATGCAGTTAGAAAGTTGAAAATATTTTTTCAAAATATTATTGTTAAATAGAGGTAATGCATAGTTTTACTAAACATTTTCTATCAGTATTACTTTCAATGTAGTTACCTAATACAGAAACATATAGTTTTATAAATATTTATATTTATAATTTGGATTTCGATATATTGAATTAATATTATTTCAAAGAATTCACTACATTCTTGCCCCTCAGAGGCTCACTTTTGTCAGTACAAGTTTGGCAATCCCAAGGTACGCTAGCCCTTCAGGGGTTTATCATCTTAGTGAGACGGGGGCATGATACTGCACCCTAGTGATCTTTGCTCCTTATCTGTGCTAATTTCTTTTCTTCTGCCCTTGTTGTTTTCTTTTTCGGAGGTTTGGGCTGAAAGTGAGATTCTAATATTCTTTGTTTCTGGTTTCTCACAGAGAGAAAGCTGTCTACGCGTTTGATATGCGTTGTGACCCGTAAGGCTGGAAAGGAGGGTCTTGGTAGTTGAGGGGGGAGGTACTGTCACCAACACACTGCTTTGGCCTCTGCTTCAGATTGAAACGGGAGGCACTTAGTTGTCCCTACTAGTGTCAATCGGCTGGTTACTCGTCCGTAGGGTCACTGGCTTGGGGATAAGCTTTTGGGAGTTCCTGCTTCCGGGAAAGCTGACTGGGGGCCTTCAGATTGCATATAGACCCTGTTAACCCTGGTGCAAGTTTCTGCGTCCCCTTGTTGGATTCCGTGGTGGGTGGGGCTGCGAGGTCCGAATCTTAATTTTTCATTTAATATGGCTCAAACAACTGTAACAAATAAAACTGAACATAATTATGCATCAAAACGGGTAAAAACAAATGTAAATGCAAATCCGGATATGAATCCAGCAAGCCAATCGAAATTTCTTGTAATAAATGATATCACAGGCAATCTTATAAAGCTGTCACCATTCGTAATTCAAAAGTACATCCAATCTTCGATTAGGGAACCGAAGAATATCAAATGGTTGTGCTCTGGAGACCTTCTTGTTGAAACTTTATTAGCTACTCAGTCTGCAACACTCTTTGGATTGAATAAACTTGGACAAATCTATGTTAAAGGGTCAGCACATAAAACACTCAATGCTTCTAGTGGTGTTATCAGAGATCGACCTCCTCTACGTTTCAGAAGAGGGAAATTGTCTCTGAGTTGTTTGACCAAAATGTCTGTGCTGCCAGACGGATCAAGATACGCAAAGAAGGTCAGTTGATTGGTGCAAAGCATATAATACCAACCTTCAAGTCGCCTGATCTGCCAAAAAGTGTTAAGGCCGGGTACTTACACCGCCCCATAAGACCTTGTGTACCAAATCCTTTGCGATGTTTCCAGTGTCGGCACTTTGGCCATTTGAAAATGTCTTGTCTTGGCAAAATCACATGTGCACACTGCTCTGTGGAAGGCCGTGACAGCGAAAATTGCAATGCTGAGCCACTATGCGCATATTGCAAAGGAAACCACATAGCATTCTCACAACAGTGTCTGAGGTGGAAATCAGAAAAGGAGGTGCAGACAACGAAAGTAATGAAAAACATATCTTATGTAGAAGCAAGAAAATTCGTAACAGATGCGCAG